TGGCCCGTACGTGCATGTAGACTATACCCCCAAAGTTTCAGCCCCGTAGCTTTTGCCGGTCTCGAGATGGAAAATCGGTACAGACGAACACACAGACACACAGACACACACGCACACAGACAACCTCTCGTCAATATGCGTTTTCTGCATTGCATAGCTGCAAAAAACGCATAAAAACGCAGATCATAAACTTAAAAAACACTCATGCTTTCGGACTTTAGAGCTGCTCTGGGATTCAAATTCAGGCTTATGCAATGCTCGGGAGACTGTGATCTTCAAATCTCGGCTTTAATTATACACAATAGGAAACCTGACTTCAAAAGTTTTTCAGTCTGCCAACATTTCAAAGAATGCAAAGATGCCCGAGAAATGCCCAAAAATTTGATTTTACCAAACGTGAAATCATAGTCTGAATATTTATTACGTATGGATTCATTTACTCCTTTCCTCTCTTACTTCTCTCTCTTTGCATCGCACTGCAGAATTACACAGAAAAGCTCTAACAATCCCGAGTTTCTCTGAAATTTCTAGTAGGCGTACGGTGTTCTATGTGAATGGTGAGATCACGTAGCCCTAGGTAAACTGCTTTGTGTGGTCATCAAATCTGAGCTGCAAGTCAAAATCAAAAGCCAGAACCTTTTCTGCAGTTTGGTCTCTCTTTCTCCCTCTCTTTCTGAGAGTCGAAAGAATTAATAGCCCTGTGGTAAAGTACTGCCAAAAGTAACTGTACACTAGCGAGATTGCCGATGACTCATTCTTTCAAAGAAGAAAGCTAATTATCTTCCTGCCTTGAACCAGCGCCAATTTACTATCGAAACTAATGAACCGGTGGAGTGAGCCTGTGCTATGTTTGCCCACAGTCGGATCTGCCAGACTTATGGGAACATTACTTCAGGTTGAGCAGTACGGCACTGCTTCTCGAAATGTCAACAAAGTGTTTTTGAAAACCGCAACCGGTAGAAGCCAGAACGAAACAGAAACATCCAGCAGCAGTGAGAATTACGAAACGGGCGATGAACCTCGCGCTGAATTTGTAATGCAACATTACAAAAGAGCTAGGCGCAATTAGTGCCAACATAAAGACTAAAATTTTCTGATATACTTCTTGTGCGATTCGTGATTTGCGACTTATGCTTTCAGGGACATACCTTAATTTTAGTCTTGCCTGATTTTTAATTTTACAGTTATTTTTATTTATTTTTTCGATCCGAGTGTTGCTTAAATTGCTTAAACTTTAGTCAGTTTTTTCGGTTTTATCGTATTTTTATGGCTGGGATTTATTCGGCTCTGGAACTGGGGAGTTTAGAAAGCTGAAATTTTAGAATGATGCCGCTTGTCCATGGCCCTATTATATAAATTTAAATTAAGTACGCCTAGTACTTGCGTGTGGTCATACGAAGCTTTTGGAGGAGAACTTTCTACCTTCTAAGGTCGAATAAGTTTGAGAGCTGGGAGTATGGGATGGCAATTTCTGTTAATACTCAACTCTGAACTTTCGAATTCAGCTTTCATTTCCGCTTACACCTCATTTTCTTGCCATGGACCAGCACCAATTTACTATCGCAACTAATAAACGAATTATGGAGACGTTGTAGATTTCAGGAGTCGAGGCTGTGCCTCGTTTGCCAAAAGTCGGATCTGCTATACTTATCGGAACATTGCTTCAGGTTGAGCCGTATGGCATTGCTTTCCGGAGTGTCGACAAAGTGTTTTTGAAAACCGAAACTGGTAGCAGCCAGGCGAAAGTGGATATGCTGCAACACTATGAGTACGATAATGACGATGAAGATGAATATTACTAATGCAGCATTTACAAAAATGAGCTAGGCACAGTTAATGCTACCTGAAAAAAAAATTCTGATATAATTTTCGTGAGATTCCTGACTTGCTGTTTCCAAGGACTGTAATTTTACTTGTGCTTAATTTTCAATTTTATACTTATTTTTTATTGTTATTTACTATTTTGATTTAGACACTGCTCAAATTTTCCAACTTTGTTCAATTTTTTCGATTTTATCATATTTTTATGGTTGGGATTTTTCAACTCTGTCGTATTTTTATGGCTGGGGCTATTAGTGCTCCCGCCTCTTAGAGAGAGAGGTAACTGCGGAGGAGTTTCTGACCTTAGACTTTGAGTTGCAGCTTAGATTTAATGGCCAAACAAAACAATTTATCTAGGGCTGCGTGGCTTCACCATCCGCATAGATCACAATACTGCTATGAGAAATTCCAGAGAAACTCGGAATTGTTTGAGCCATTTCCTGCCCGCACTTGCGAACCAGGCTTACTTAGGAGCTGAATTTGAAACCTTTAATTTGTAGGTGGACAAAGAAGAGCCTTCTAGGATATCAACTTTCCAGTTCTTCTGTTTCCTGAATTCGCAAACTCTTCGCCAAAAGTTTCACGGGTCCATGTGCGGGACTCAGACATGCACAAAAATTGACATCACGTTCCCGACATGGCGCTTCGCCAGAAGAATTACTGGCAAATTTCCAGCATCAAAGCTTGCTTGATTGCCAAGTTGAAATATCCAAACAGACGCTCACATACACATCATGAGTAATAACAATATGCATTTTTATGCCTTTTTGCTGTGCAGCGCTATAGCGCTGCTACAACCAGCAAAAACGCATATTGTCGAGAGGCTGTCT